GGCGTAGGCGCGGGCGCGGGCGCTGGCGCGGGCGGTGGCGGGCGCCAGGGCGCGTCGGGGCGGCGTCGCCCGCGCCTGGAGGAGGAGGCGTCGGAGTCGGGGCCGTTCTCGCCGTGCGGGCTCTTGCCGTGAGTAGCTCCCTCCACCCCCACACCCCCACCCCTACACACGGTCGCATGAGCACCACTAGCGATCACTGCGACCTCGCGCAATGAAAGCATGCACTACACTTACGGGGCTAACCAGTATCCAGATGTAATCAGTATTTATCATACAAATAAAAGAAAATATAGATGTAATCACACGAGTCCAGTTGTTATATTTCTTTTGGTCTGTCAAGTCTTGCTCTCCCTGGCGACTGTATATTTCTTTATAATATGTAACTGCTTCGCGATGAGAAGCACGTAAAATTATACAAAAAGAAACCTAAAATTACGTAACATTACGCATAAAATTATAGAAAAACTACTGAAACATTATCGAATAATTATCGAAAAATTATGTAAAAATTAACTTACGTTCAAAATTGAATGTATGTCCACCAGAATGCACATGTTTAAGTCTCAACATCATTCACCACATCCAAACAATCATTATGTAATTTTAGTAAGAAAATTGATATACTTTTTGTGAATAACCAATCTTTTAATTTTTGAGTGAAAAACGTAGTTGTATGATTTCATTTCCTAGAAAAATATTTAAATAATTTTGGCTCAATGCAATTCTTGAATGTCTGAGCGATTCCTTTATAAGTTTTGGAGTACAGAAAATTATTTATTTTGACTAATGACTTTTGTAGTTACCGTGCCCGGAATCACTAATCGACCAATCAAATGAAAGTAAAAGTATATTTTCCTTACACAGTAAGCACTAACTCAACAGTACAGAAGATCGTAAATGCTCTCTCAACGAATGACATCTATTAAATATTTTTCAATTCGGCATCCTTTGAGAATAAAAAATCAAATTTCGTGTACCTAAAGATGCCGGAAGAGTACTCATATTTCAAGAAAAGACATTTTATATTTATTTATGTACAAGAAGGTGGACGAAGGTCATACTATATTTAAACAAAGTCGGTTGCTACATTTCATCACGAAAGAGATCATAACGTCTTCGTTGAATGTGTTGTATGCAGGCACTAGTTAAAACCCCAAGTTTTCGGCCTCCTAGATCTTGTAGTAGATCTCTTAGATCCGAGAGGCTAGAAAACCCGTTATTTTTCCTGACTTTTATCGGTTTTTTCTCTATGACTCTTTAATCTTAAATTCTGAAGAAAAACGATTAAAATTAGTTCTAAAAAGGTTAAAATTCGGTTAAAATTCTGTATGACTTTTATAAGAAACATTTTTTTCGAAATCAATTACCAAGCGAGATACATTTTTTAAAAACGGTATTTTTTTATTTTTTTGAAATGTGTGCAAAAAATGCATATGTGTGATATTATAATCAACCAATAATAATAATTATTATTATTATAATTTTATTTCATGTAAAACTATTATTTTACCCTCGATGAAAACACTGCCTCACAAATGTACTAAAAATATTGATATACCAAAAAATGATGGTAGTGTATATAACTGTTTAGGTTGTCCAGCTTAAATCTTCAACGCGGAAACAATGTCACTTCAATCAAACTTGCTTTAGATTATTTTTCGTGAATTGCAATGGAGAAAATAATACCGTAGGGGTAACTGTTGACACCTCTAGTAGGATGGGTGGGAAAGAAGAGATACAGTGGTGGCCAAATTATTAGACTAGAGTTATTGAAGTCATAATGTATTTGCGACTGTAGGTATTAACGCACTCTAAATTTTTCTAATGTTCTAATGTTTAATAAACATTTCATAATCAACATACTTGTCCTGAGGTATGTTGAGTATCAATTTTTAATCCATTCTTTCAAATTGAGTGTCATTTTGCGATATGCGAATTATTTTTTTGTATTCCTGCATTATAAAACAACTTTTTCTCTTGCACGAAATCGTTCATACTCGGTCATTTTACGGCACAAATGATGACGTATTAGATTTTATGTCACGAATGATAGCGTCATCACACATTCAGCTGATCGTAGCGAGAGAATCGGGGGGAGGTAGAGCTAAACGGAACAGTCGACCACCGTTTACTCGCACGATGTCAAATACCAGAGTCTTCACAGGAAACTTGTTTTGCAAAATTAAGTTTGATTCTCTTATAAATGTATAATTCTCTTATACAAAAAATATAGCATGCAGATCGTTTATAATGTTGCTTTATTACATTCGTACAAATTTGAAAACTCGCTCCTAACGTCGCTCGTTTTCAAAACATGTACTCATGCAGCCAATTAACATTATAAACTAATTGCATAAACAACTATTAGGAGCTGGTTTTATGGCCTTCTTTTCTTAAGTGTCTTTTAATTATCAAACGAAAATGTTTGATGGGATTCATGTCCGGACTATTTTCAGTCCATTGGATCCCAGACTGATCAATGTCTTGAAGATGATTTCCA